GAGATCACATTCCTTGACACTGCTACACAAATGAGGGATGGAATCATATTTGAATATCTGTATTGCAAGCCCACATAAAAATTCAATCTCTTTCTCCCCTTAGTTGTCACACAAAACACTACACAAAGAGCTTAACCTACAGCCAGGCCATCAGAATAACGCGAATTTGTTCCACCAATGATACTGTGAACAAGCGATTACAAGAACTTTTCGCGATCACCTAAAAAATCGGGGCTTCAAAAGAAAAAAATATTGATAGAAGTTTCTCTTGTGCTAACAACATGAGCCAAGATGAACTCTTACAATGTAAAGAGAAAAAGGTCAACAAAAGAGTCCCGTTTGTTCTGACTTACCATCCTAAATTTGACAAATTATCACACATTATCCACGAAAATTGGAAATATGAATCGAAAAACATCCGAAAGTATCCAAGATCTTTCCTGCATGAGCCACCCGTAGTGGCTCTCCGTATGCCCAAAAGCCTTAAAGACTCGCTGGTGAGAGCCGATATATCCCCTTAACCATGCAGGCTCTTTGTCATCAGGCTCTTGCAAGGGTTGTGGAAACAAACGATGTCTGACTTGAAAGCAAATACAGAATACACAGACTGTTAACAGTCACTCCACTGGTACGAAACACACCATATTTTTCAATGTTGCGAGTAACTACAAATGTTGTGTATCTCCTACAGTGTAAATGTGGTAAACAGTATATTGGTGAATCAGAAAAGCCATTCCATAAACGTATGAACGGCCATCGTAGTGGCTATAAATGTAAGCCAGACCTTCCTCTCGGTCGACATTTGAGATCTCCTGGCCCCATTAGGTAGATATCAATCGACTAAATATTACCATCATTGACCACAATACTACTTGGTCAAGGGAGGAGAGACACTCGGGACAGACTTTGGATAAGAAAATTAAAAGGTTGGCACCCGAATTAGGAACAATGAAAAGTTGTAGTTCTACAGTCGCGCAGTGCTATTCATTTGAGTTGCACAACTAAGCAGTATCTGTTGTAATTCCTTTACCTTCGTCAACTCTGACATTCTAGATTTATATCAGTGCTACCATTTGGGATGTATAAATACGTAGCCTTCTGTAATCTGTATGATATGTACTGCTAGGCATGGCACACCTCCAAAATCTGGAGTATGATATCCACCACCTCACACGAATACAAATTATTAAAATGTCTATTCACACTAGTAATATTAAAAGTTCTATGCACAATATCAAAAAGTTCCATCCACCAGAATATTGTCGTTATTATATACAAGTAGTTAATTTATAAAGACGTATCAGGGTCGTTTAAAATCTAAAATTAACTTAATTTATACTGATATTATCAGAAGTCCATTACTAGAGGAAGTGTGCAACCCGCTATATAGTAAGGCGATCACGTTGTCCCCGTACTTCCAACTGTGATTGAAACGGGATTTGAGCGAGATTGCTATTAATAGTTATACTATTATACTAGCAAACAACCTTATGTCATCACTATATCATCGTCCTAAACATACATGAAATATTTGCCACTGGACGTTAAGCAACCAACAATCAATAATTTATCGCTATGTCAAACCTTAGAAGGTAACATGGAAACTAATTACAAATTAATATGATTGTTGACAATGAACTATGGAAGTTATACTATTATACTAGCAACAGATCGTTGGCGTTTCAATGGGAGGAGTTACCTCCCTGGAAATATCTGATATTGCTATATTTGACCATTTAAACAATAATATAGAGCAATATCTTACAAAAATAATATTAAATTCCACAAAAGAATTAGAAATGATGGATTTAATATATTTAATGGAAACGGTGAACAAATTAAACAACTATTTGAAATAGCACATTGTTTTAAATCCTTTAGAAGGTACGAAAATTCTTAGAAACAATAGCAACATGTACAAATATTAAACGTCCGTGCAAGGGCTGTATAGCTAGTCAAGGTCGTTAAAAACTTCCATTTGTTGTAACGACCATATATATATACTGTCTATAGATAAATTACCTAAACGGTTATACACTAAAGAAAAAGTCAGTCAAATAATGCACAAAATTCGTCACGAATGCAGACAGCTAAAACTTCGAAAGAAACAAAATAATAAGAAAACAATTGGCAGAAAGATGTTGAATATCTTAAAAAGGTAATAACAAAATGTTGGTATATAATTCGGAAAGATCCGATGGCCAAAAAAAAATTCAAATATAAACCAGATATGGTTTTCATAAACAATAAGAATATTAGCGACATGATAATTAATCATCAAGTCATAGACATCGATTCAGAATACCCCACCACGGGAAGCTTTAGTATACAACCATTATACTGTGAAACAGATGTAAAAAGACGTGATGCCGATTTATTTCAATAGATCACGTACTAGGGATAACAGAAGGGTTTCTTATATATGCATGCATAGATCCGGCATGGTACCTACACAAACTTCTTCAATTGTTAAACATGGAGATTTTTGTATATTATCAAATAGGTGCTAAAACATACACGACAGTTTACTCTGAATTCAACAATATAGCACTAATAACTACTATCTCTATACTAGATCCCGTGAAGATTTATGATAGATTAGATTACGGAAATAAAGACAATAAGTCTTTTCATTATATATATATATATATATATATATATATATATATATATATATATATATATATATATATATATATATGAATAATTAAACAAAGGTGCTGATCTACTTGGTCAGTTTCTTTAGTTTGTAAAAAGACTAGCTACAACGTAGACCTATATGCACGTGTAGTAAATTAGAAAAAAAAACTGTTATGAAACAGATACACATCTATCTATTATGTTAGATACGGATTAAACATGTAAAGGTCGGCCTCTAATGAGGGTTTACCTGGGAATATTCCCGAAAGAACCCGAAACATTGCATATTAAATTCTAAAGAATTAAGCAATTATTATTAAAAGTACGTAGTGTCAGGTCAGACATATTGATGCCATACCATGAATAAGTGGGTTTATGGTCATTTTATAACAACATTCTGATTATATAACAATCAAATTTAAATAAATAATCAAAGACAGTTAAAACTATTTCAATTTTTGCTCCTATCCACTCTTACATATGATATAAAAACGGAATTATTGTCCAATACTGCAACAGAAGCTGTTGTAATTTTACTCTATTTGTCTGGGTTGATGTTGTCTTTGAAGCCACTTTACATTCAGTTGCTGTAGTCTTCAGTTTTGGTAAAGAATCTAAATAAGTATTGCACTGTGCACTTGAATCTTTATTGGTTTTAATCATTTTCATATACTGATAATCAAAAACTGAAGGAGATTAATTAGCAGTTATCTGTTTTATGATAATATTTTTACCCATGATTCCATAGTTATAAAACGAGATTTGGGAGGACCACCTATGGCGCTTTCCACTAATAATGGGGACATCGTGATCGCCTTACTATATAGCACAGCTTGCACACTTCCTCTAGTAATGGACTTCTGATATTATATATATAACCTTCGTCAACTTTGAAATTTAAAAATTATACCAGTTTAAATCTAACAGTGCTATTCATTTGGGATGTATAAATACGCAGCCTCTATTGTAATTACTTAACCTTCGTCAACTTTGAAAATTTAGAATTATACCAGTTTAAATCGAACAGTGCTATTCATTTGGGATGTATGTCTACACAGTTTCTGTTGTAATAACTTAACTTTCAGTGGCGGATCCAGGGGGGGGGGGGGTGTTCGGGGGTTGGAACCCCCCTTTTTTTGACGATCAATGCATTTGAATGGGGACATATATTTGGAACCCCCTTTCTCCTGGGTTTGAACCCCCCACCCCTGTGCAATTATAGAATTGCACCAGCTCCTATCGCACATTACTATTCTTTTGGGATGCATATCTATGCAGTCTCTGTTGTAAATACTTAACTTGTTTCAATTTCGAAATTTTAGAATTATACAAGCGTGGTTCGGTTTTTAATTTGTATTAATTTCAAGATTGTTTTTCGTAATATTAGAATAAATTGACAAGATTCATACTGATGAACGATATCTGTTTTTTCCGAAATATTTTTTGATACTTGTATTTACTGTTTCTTTTTAATATTGGTGTTGTTTTGCACACTTTTTTAGGCGTATATGTTATTTTTGTATTGTGTACAGTTTCGTTTTGCTTTTCATAACGATCTAGCGCCCTCGTAAGAAATTCGTTGACTAATATCTATAGACGTTATATTATAATTATATATATATATAATAAAAACTATAACACAAGTTTCCATACGTTTCGGCCATTACGGCCTTCTTCGTTGGGTTAGCTTATATTTGAAATAAAATTAACATAAAAACACAAATGTTAAAAGTCTAGCGCTTTCATCCTTCACGGGACTTATCAAGACGATGTTAAGTGTTTCCCGTTCTATATATGTAAAAAAATAAATACGTAACAAAACGATGACATAGAAACACCTAACAACGTCTTGATAAGTCCCGTGAAGGATGAAAACCAACATTTGTAGACGACGTAAAACTCACGGTTCCTCTACCAAAATCGTGTACGTATAAAACTAATAAAATGGGCATCCAATTATTTTGTGTTCTCTCAGCGGTCTAGGGTCTAATGTAATGGAATTTTATGCGACTGTCATACAAGTTAGAGGTTTGGCTAGCTTTAAAACCAGGTTTAATCCATCATTTTCTACTTAAGGAAATGACTAGCTGTACCAAGTTAGGAATACAACAGTTGTTTTCCATTCGTTTGATGTGTTTGAGCTATTGATTTTGCCATTTGAAAAGGACTTTCCGTTTTGAATTTTCCTTGGAGCTCGGTATTTAAATATTTTTGTTATTTTACTTTTCATGTACTGCTTTTCTTTTTATGAAGCAAACAGCTTGTTCGAGAATCTCTAGAATTTTGTCCTCGAATATAGAAAGATTCTGAGAGATTCGAATGAGAACTTTACAGCAGTAAACTATTGCTTTCTTTCCCTATTACATATACTCCCTTTATGAAATGACATCACAGTCAGAGTGAGAGATCGACTATCATAAATTTGTAAAAGGTAACCTCAAAAACAATTTAAAAAAAAAATATATATGGCATTTATGAATGAGTTGCACCGGTTGACGAGAAAATCAAACGGCGTAAATGACGTCATTGAACAATCGGAAATGAAAGGGAATAATTATTATATATAACCATTATTCAGTTATAATTTGGTGGATTATACCACAATTTTACTTACATTTGTATAATCCACCATTGGTCGTATATACTGAGATCGGATACCAATTGAGATATATTGGCATTTTCACTATTAGTCTTTAAATGAAATTCGTGCATGTTATGGCAAAATTATAAACCATCTAAAACTTGGATGGGTACTCATTGTTGACATGTAATAATTTGCTTTCTTCTTTGTTAAAGTTGGACATCTGACGTCAGGCTGCCATTCTTTTCTGGCATAGAAAATGCAATCATATTAAATTAACGGCAGTAAGAGGGTAAACTTTGCATCAGTACCAACTTTACTTTTACAATCTTTTTCTGTCCGTATCTGTATGATACTGGAAATGAACTCAAAATTGCTGAATAAAACTTATCCAGGATGTTTATGTGCAAGACTGTCTCAACTAGTTATGCGAGATAACTGCCTTAAAACTTTCCCACTGTTTTGCATTTAATTGCACTGTTCGACAATGAGTTCCAGTCGTTTATAGTTTGTGGAAAGAAATAATGTTTGAAAATGTCAGTATTACTGATAAAATTTTCAGTCGTTTTTGATTTGAAGTTCTTGATGTTCTGTTATTATATTCAATATGATGTTCAATGGGGACGGCTACCAGGTTGTTTACTATTTTGTACAGTATTACAAGGCGTTGTTCTTGCCTCCTTTTCACAAGAGGTTTCCATCCAAGCTTGGTCCTTCATCATGGAGGTGACACTACTTGTACACCTATAGTCTTTGCATACAAACCTAGCCACCATTCCTTGTACACTCTCTATAAATGGTTAATATCTTTCTGTAGATATGGGTCCCATACAGTGCAGGAGTAGTCCAGAACTGAATGAACAAGAGAGATGTACATGATGTACAATGTAGACAGTTTCTTTGAAATGTTTGTTTCAGGATTCCTTCTGACATGTCTGATAAATCCTAGGCTACAAATGTAGAGTTTGCCTTGTTGCAGATTTTATTTATATGAGATGACCATTTTAAATTATCCCTAATCCATGTAATCATGCTAATGATTATACCTAAATAAGGATTTTCATTGACTTGTTCTAGAACATGACTACTAAGAGTATAGATGTGTCAACTGGGACCTGCTACAGTGAATTGACATGAATTAGCACTTGCTAGCATTAAAACACGTTCCCCTGTTCTTTGCCCATTTATCCAGTGATCCTAGGTCTTTCTGTATTTGAAGTTGGTCCTGTAGTGAGTTTATTATGTTTATGGAGTTATATTAAAGACCATCATTGGCAAACAAACATACTTGGGATTTTCCAAAGAGCGGTATATTTTTGTAAGTCATTTATATGACATGTATAGAAAAAGGAGGGCCCATGCCGATGGATGTGGAAGTGGTTTGTAACAGTTTTCTGACTAAGTGGAAGTGGACAGTTAATCCCTTTTGGGGACTTTGAGGCGTCCAAATCAGAAAATCTCTACGGACTCAGAATGATCAATCCCAAAAGGAATTAGTTGACAGTACATTTTTGTAAGAGACTGCTGACCAATTTGATTATTAATTAATATTTATGATACATGTATAATAGTTTCAGAAAAATACAAAATCAATTTAAAGAAATAAGTTTTTTGTTAAAAAATGAAAAAAATTCTCAATTTAACTGAATTGTGACTTTTTGTCCTACATTATAATTTTATAAAACAGCCTTTATATAGTAGACTTATCGAAATATATTCAGCAAAATACAATAAAATGGCTAAATGTTCAGTGTAGTCAGAATATATTCATTTTAAAGACAGCTAGATCAGTGGTGAAATCTGTAGTCATTATCAATCCTTCCTTTCCAGATTACTTGAATGAATCGTTCTCTTTTCTTTTTTTTCATTTATATCTGAAGTTTAAAGGCAATTTGGAAGGAAATTTATTTATTTATCTATCAATCCTTTTTATACATATTTGGAATCAAGAAAATTCCAGCAGTAAAACTTTACACCCATTTAAAATATTTACAACAATTTAAAGTTTGTCATGTTAGAAATTTATTCAAAACAGCCAGGATGTTTATAGTACATTTTAGGTCTAAAAAAAAATCCTTAATGAATACAGGTTAAAAAAGGGGACAAAACCTGGCTTTTATAATGCAACAAAGCTTGGTCTTGTCACCCATACTAGCCAAACACATTTGAATTGCAAGCCTCACTTTCAAATGTATAAACAGCTGACTTCACATCTACAAATGTACTTATCTAAGACACAAAATGTAAGAGGTTATGATTATTTCTTCAGGAAATAAGTGTCTGTTGATGTGAAAGTCAATCTGAATTTTTGATCCTCAATGACCAAACTATTTTAGTTGATTTATAAAACAGAAAAACGAAAAGTAATTGTGAATCCTGGAAATCTGCATATTTGAGTGGTTAATTTGCTGTACATCCATATGACAACTCAGTGAATTTCACATTGAATAAATATGTGGTTGTAACACATAATTTAATTTTACTTAGAACAAAAAAAAGTAGACAAACCAGTTTTCTCTCTCTCACCTGCAACTAAATTTGCATAAGCAAGATATAGAAATGGCAATGAGTTACATTTTCAGTATATTTATCATTGAATAATAAAATGCCTAAATAATTAAAATATTTTTTTTATAAAGAGTAAGTATGTAACACAGTAGGTATATTTTTTTTTTTCACTTTTAGTTGTTTAAAATATGTATTTATAGAATTCATTTACAACTTCATAATTTAATGACACGATATAAGGAAAGACTTTTAATAACAAAATACGATTTTTTTCTTTTACTTTTCTTTTAAATTAATATCATACATCAATCAAATTGAAATTTGTATGTACAATGGGTAAACTATTTCATATCAAAGGAAGAAAATAACTACCTTATCCATAATTAGTATTATAATGTTATTTAAGACAAGTTAAAAAAATGCTAACATATATTCCAATATTCATCTGATAGAAACCTGTTTTTTTTTAGAGGAATACAATTCACCTTTTTTTATTTTTTTAAGGTGGGTTATCAACAAAGAGTACAATTGATAACTTTCTGATATACATGTATATATATATATATATATATTATTGCCACCTGAAATATATGAAAAGATTTGACAATAGTGGGTTTTAGCACATCTAAAATTGTCTCCATTCAACTTCCTGTTCCTGATTACATTTTGACAACAATATGGCTGTTTCTATGAATCATTAAATTATATTTCAAATCCACGCAATCCTCTTTTAATATAGATATAAAGTGATATTTGATTACTACATTGTACCTATCGAAAATTGGATAGAAAAGTAGATTTTAAACTCACCTGGCCCAGGGGGCCAAGTGAGCTTTTCTCATCACTTGGCATCCAGCGTCGTCGTCCGTCGTCGTCTTCTAGTGTCGTCTGTTAACTTTTACAAAAATCTTGTCCTCTGAAACCAATGGGCCAAATTTAGCCAAACTTGGCCACAATCATCATTGGGGTATTTAGTTTAAAAAATGTGTCTGATGACCCCGCCTGACAACCATTGAAGTTGGCCAACATGGTTAAAAATAGAACATAGGGGTAAAATGCAAGTTTTGTCTATTATTTTGAAAACCGTTATAAATAGAGAAAATCTGACTGACATGGGCAAAAATGTTCAGAATGTTGAGCTCTATCAATTGTCTATATTAGTGAAAACTGTCAGACAACTTCTTATAGGAGTTATTGCCCTTAAATGACAAATTTTACCATTTTTTTTCATTTTTGCCTTTTATCTTGAAAACTATAACAGATAGAGAGAAACTTAAAACTACAAAAGGATCAGCAAGACAAGTTCTACAAATACGTCAACATGGTCGAAATTGTCAGTCGACTCCTTGTTAGAGTTATTGCACTTTGATGATGATTTTTACCAATTTTTTGCATTTTTGCCTTTTATCTTAAAAATTATAATAGATAGATAGAAACTTCAATTTGCAAAAATGATCAGCAAGACAAGTCCTACAAATAAGTCCACATAGTCGAAATCGTCAGTCACCTCCTTATTAGAGTTATTGCCCTTTGATGATGATTTTTACCAATTTTTTGCATTTTTGCCTTTTATCTTAAAAATTATATTAGATAGATAGAAACTTTAATAAGCAGAAATGATCAGCAAGACAAGATCTACTCTTAAGACAATATGGAGGAAATCGTCCGACGACTCCTTTTTGGAGTTATTGCCCTTTAATGACGATTTTTACCATTTTTTTGCGTTTTGCCTTAGATGATAAAAATAATAATAGATAAATAGACACTTTAAATCACAAAAATGATCAGCAAGGCAAGATCTACTAACAAGTCAAAATTTTGCCGATATAGTTAGTAGACGGTCACCAGACTTGGGGTCAATTACATTGGAATGTAATTAATTAAATTACACGTTACATTGCAAAATTGATCAACTACACTAATAACCATTACACAGTTTTTGGAATGTAATTAATTAAATTACAATTACTTTACTAAAGTAATTAATTAAATTACAAATTACATTTTATCACAATTTTATTAAAAAATATGTTTTGCAAAATATATATATATGTATAATTTTTGCACCTTATGTTTGCGGTATACCATCTTTTCCGCAAGTTTATTGTTTTCTGTTTGGTATTAAATTAATAATTAAGATCCATTTTGTTACATCTGGTGATCCATTTATTTGGCAATCGCCATGGCAGTCAGCAGGGTTTAAGAACATCTGTTGTTCGACCTGCTAGTCAAATGCGTTTTGTTAAAATATACTTTTTCACTTTTTTTTTCTTTTGAAAAATGTTGTTTGTGCTGTATTTAGACCCCTCTACCAAGAAATTTGTTTTTCATGCACACGTATA